AGTCCAAGTTCGTCATTTTTCATTCCATGACTTGTGATTTTTGTTTCTTGCTTAAAAATATGTTTTGACAGGTTGTGAAGATTTTCCATTGTGTAATATAAACCTTTTTGATTCCATATTTATGCATAATGTGAAAGATATTTTTTCCAAATGGCCAGTTTTTTCATCAACCTGTGTTCCAAAAAACATAACTTCCCTATTAGCTCGCATTGGTGGTTTTACCAAACATCGATGCACTGTGTGTATTTAGTCTCTTTTGGAGTGTCCACTCTGATGCCTTAATCAATGTGTCTAGCTTTATACCAAAATCACACTATTGCCATTATTATAACTTTATATTTTGTCTCAATGTGAAGTAGTGAAGATTCGCCAACTTTGTCCTTATATTTCTTAACAAGGTTTTGGGTTTCCTAAGTGTTTTAATTTTCCATGCAAATTTTAGAATTCTCCTAGAAACTACAGAAGGTGATTCTGATGCTAGGAAAATCAAGGTTCACTGCTGTTTAGACGGACAGTTTGCACCCAAAGTAAAATCAAAGATGACTAAAGTGGGTTACAGTCACAAATTGTGTGAAATTAATATGTATATTTTATACTATGTTCTAGACTTACGGTAGCCTCAAAAGTTTTTGGTTATGATTTAATTATTTCACATATGCAAATACTTATATTGCTGGTCAACAAACATATTTTAAAATGCTCAACATCTCTGACCACTAAGAATTGCAAATTAAAACAAACCTAAGATTGCATCTTACTCCGGAATAAATAGCAATTATTAGGAAGTTAAGTAATAACAAATGCTGGCAAGGCTGTGGTGCAAAAGGAACCCTCCTCCACTGCTGTTGGGAATGTAAACCAGTACAACCATTATGGAAGTCAGTGTGGAGAGTTCTCAACATTGAAATTAGAAATTCCACATGACCCAGAAATGCCCCTGCTAGGTATCTTCCCCAAAGAATTTTATGCATCATACTACAGTGATAGGTGCACACCCATGTTAATAGCACCAGAATTCATAGTGATTAAATCTTGGAAGCAGACTGTATACCATTAACAGATGATTGGAGAAAGAAAAGGTGTTGTCTACATGTAGTGGTACCTTGCTTCAAAATTTATTTCCTTCCATAATCCAGTCACAGAATTCATCCCATGACTCTAGTTGCACCTGAATTTCAAAGGTGTAGAATGAATTCTACAATGAGAATCATGGAAAGAATTAAGTTTGTCAGCCGAGGTACCATTGTATCCTGGAACACTGCTTGGCTATAAAAATGACACATTTGAGAGATTTGTAGGAAAATGGAGGTACCTGGGAAACATACCATTGACTGAAATAGATCAGGCACACAGGCTTAAACACCGTGCAGTACCTCTCATAAAGTGAGACAAAGTACAACAGAGAATAATAAAGGACAGAAAAACAGGGCTGGGGGTGAATCTGTTGCAATAGGGAAGTAGTTCAAGGGAAAAGGGTAAGGGGTGAAGAGGAGGGGGAGGAGAGGGGAGTATAATAAAGACCAGTCACGCACAGGAACCCAATAACCCCAAAGATTGTAAACATCCTATCCTATGACGTGGGTTAAGATTAATAACAGCAACAAGCGCGAACATCGGAATGGGAAACTGGAGGAAGTGGGAGGGAAAAATGAGGCAAGGGGAACAGATTTAAAACAGTAAATAAATAGAAAGAAACCAGCTGCAGTATGTACATGAACCTACTCGGTGAGATGACTGTAAACAGCATGTACTGCAAGCATGTACTAGTTTTTTAAAAAGCTAAAGAAAAAAAACAGGTGGTGAGAATGTCAGTGCTGAGGAAGTCTGAGATCTGTAGTACCAGTGAGGAAAATGTAAGCCATCCTGTTTAAATAGACATACTATTTGCTCAAACAATGAATAAACACAGTGACATTCAGGTTTTAAAAGATGTATTTGCAGCTTGGAAATCCCTAATTAAAAATTTTTTACAGGAAAATCATATCATGTTTCAAGTTATCATGTATTAGCACCTACATGTTCATTTTTTTCCGTTCTTGAGAAGTCTTTGTTAAAAATTTTTTAATAATGATAGAAAGGTGCTCTCTCATTGAATACTAAGAAATCTGCTCCCTGCTAGCTCTTGTGAGAATTACTGAGAGTTCCCAACCATCTTTATAGTAAAGTCTAGCGTCGCAGTTTCCTGGGTTCTGAGAGGGCATACAGTAAGCTCAGGGATGTTTCAGCTTTAACACTTGTACATAGCTGTGACCTGGGCTACTCTGATGAGCAAGCTCACATGAAACTGTCTGATTTGTAAAATATTTGAGGATCATTATCCAATTGCCCACAGCTCTCTGTTATTTGGGCCATAGAAGTTGTATTTCATTTAACTTACATTTATCAAGGACAATTTCAAATAAGTGATTTTAAGTGGGCACATAAAAGTTTTCAAGACTATAAACCAAAAGCAAAGGAAAAGAGATGTCATGATTTATGTTGGGGGCTGGCTTCGGGGTGGAGCCAGGATATGACGTAATGGCAGGAAGAAGGTGTGTCTCCCTCTTTTGCCTGTTTCCTCCTTGCTGTTTGCAGCACCTGTGAACTGGGCCCTCGCTGTGCCATCCTGCTTTGGAGCCAACTGAGTATGGACTGAAATCTCCAAAAACTGTAAGAAATAAACCTTTCCTTCCCCAACTTTGGTGATCAGGTATTTTGTCTCAGCAAAGAGTAAAAAGTAACTAAGACAGAATTTGGTACTGAGGACTGGGGTTGTTTGCAGTGACTATACCTGACCATGTTTTTGGAGAGGCTTTGGAAATGGCTTGTGGGCAGAGTTTGGAAAGGTTCAGACATGTTGCCTGGATGTACAGAGCTGGAGCAGCTTAGGCTCTTCTGTAGTGGAGATTCTGGTCAGAGCTCAGGAGACCAGAATGCTGATAGAAAGCCTCATGGTAAAGACCAGGCTTGAGAGGTTTCTGCTGGGAAGGATTGCATTGGTTGTTGGACTCCCCATGATGTGTGTTATGCCTTGGCGAAAGTTTGTCTGCATTTTGCTCGTGCCTAGAGAGTTTGCCTGAGACTGAAACAAAGGGCAATGGATTGATTAGTCTAGAAAAGGAAATTTCAAAGCAATAGAATATTGAGGCTGTGGCATGGTTATTGTTGGGGGCTTTTAGCCAGCTTTATGTTGCAAATCAAGAGCAAAGAGCCCTGCAGGGTAACTTGCAATACTGTGAGTTTGGCCAGAAGGAAAATTCCAGGAATGCTGTGGATTGTAAAGACAGAATTAAGACTCTGATTCCTGAGGAGAAACAGAGAGATAAGAAAGATGGCCCCGGGGCATCCCAGGAAGTGGGCAAAAGTGAAAGAATTTGCTCAGATGGAAAAGCTACAGAAAGCCATGCTCCAGCATGGTGACAGAGGCCACATGAGGTTCCAGAATGGCAGCAAGATAGAGAAGCTTTTGTTCACAAACAGGTTCACAGGGCCCAATGATCCAGGCAATTGACACCTACAGCCAAGAGAGAAAAGCCTGGCTACTGCTTCAGCTGGCAGCAGACTTTGGTGGCATCCACAAGGTGCTGATTTTAGGTGTAAGGAAAATGTACAAATTCTGAACGTAATATGGCTTCCACCTCAATTGCAAAGGGCCTAGAAGGCAACCAGTGTGCCCCTGAGAGAGCAATTTGTAAAGATGTAAAGGTGAAGTCAAAGGTCCATGTAGACTCCAGAAGTTTGGAAAAGCTAAGAACAGGTATGATCCAAGCAAAGCTGCAAAAAGTGGGCAGAGAGGATTTATTTTTATTTATGTACTTATTTATTTTAGAAATTTTTTATTTAAAGAGAAAGAAACAAAAAATACATGGAGGGAAAAAAGGGTAGAAATAATACAGAATTACAGAAAAATAAACAGTAAGAAATCACCAGTTGATAAGTTACATATTGTCATCTTAGAAATAGTTATTCAGGTTACAAAATTAAAGTATGTAAAGTGACATTCAAATAGTAAACTGCCAACAGTTCTGCTCAATGATCTAACAAAAACTTAGTAATATGGTTATCAGTCCTACACACTTGTTTTTTATCTTAAAGAGGGTAAGATTAAACATATCAAAACAGAACAAAACAGTTTGAAAAGAAACAATTTAAAGAAATACAGATTTCAAAACAAGTCCACTGGAGATCTTCACTATTTATCTAATTGTCTCTAGTTTCTTCCAAATAGTTGTCCCCATGTTCACGCACATTAAGTACATACCACATATTATAGGACTAATCAAATCATTACAGGATGATGAAGGCCTTTTAGTTCTTCAAGATCATGTCTGCCTCACGTGTGCTACTCCACTTTACTGCTATAATTAGTCTACCTTACTCCTTCATTCCACTGTCTGCCCCATTCATTGAGGTCTGAGCAGAGAGGATTTAAGAGAAAAGCTACAGGAGCTGAAGTGCCATGGGGGTGGAATCAGCCAAGCTTTTTGGAGCTTGCAACCAGATTGCTTCAAATGCTGAGCATGAAACTCTAGGACTTACTGTTTAGCCTCGTGGATGCTGGACTTGCTTTGTTTCCAATGCTTTAAATTCCCCTGCTTGTAACTTTTGGAATGGTAATATTTATCTTGTGCCTTTGCATTTCAGAAATGTTTAACCTTGTTTCATTTGTACAGAGGGTTACAGTTAAGAGTTTGCAACAGATCTTGGAGGAGACTTGGGACTTCGACTTTCCAGTAATGATGACACTATTAGAATATGGAAACTCTTGGAGATGGACTAATGTCTTTTGTATAAAGGATGTACATGAGTGCTGGGAGTCAGGGGTGGAAGGTCATGGTTTATGTGGGTGGCCCCCAGACCTCATGCATTTGCATTGTGCATTTGTGATTGGTTCATTGTCTAGCACTTGGATTTGGGTGTGAATTCTACACTGGACTAGGGGTGGATCCAGGATGTGATGTAATATCAGGAAGAAGGTGTGTCTGACTCTTTTACTTGTTTCCTCCTTGCTGTTGCAGCAGCTGAGAACTGGGACACCTCCATGCCATCCTGCTTTGGAGCCAACTGAGTACGGACTGAAACCTCCAAAAACTGTAAGAAATAAACCTTTCGTTCCCCAACTTTGGTCATCAGATATTTTGTCTCAGCAATGAGTAAACAATAAGACAAGGGTCAAGGTGGACTTTAGTAGATCAATTTTGAACATGTAGAGTGGTCATAAGAAAGCCTAAAACACAGCCAGACACTGGACGCATTCTGATTTGCTTGCAGAAATGCATGGCTGTTTCAATCTCTTGCTTGATTTGTTTATTACAAGCTGGTGCTTTCACATTTCAGGGTTCCACCTACTGTCATGTTCTGTGTCAGATGGTGTTGGAAGAGTTAGAGGTCAGAAGGGTCTAGTTTTTGTTTTTTAAGAAGAGGTGTACAGTACAGTAGACCAACTAAATTTCTCTAACATCTCAGACTCAGTTATAAGAAGGAAAGTTTTCTCACTGTGGTTTATCTTATTTTCAGTTGATACTGAGGGAATAAAACCCACTTTGGCTTTGAGTTTCAGAAAGCCCAGCTTTAATTGGCAAAATCTGGTTTCACACCCACTTATCACAAGTAGATGAGCAAGGTCAATTTAGTTAACCAATCTCTCCCTGGGTTACTTTACTCTGTAAACTGTGAATGACCCTAATGATAGGTAACATGCAGAGTTTTACTTTTACTTTATTATACTTTTTGTTATTTTAAAATTTAAAGTATTACACTTTTAATGAAGAATTAACTATCCAATGGATGGTTGAATCATTTCACAACATCTGGACTTGGTCAAGTGCTTCTGCAGAATTTTATGATTAGGGAGCCCACTTTGCAGGCCTTCTCTTGCCCTTCTGAGACAGAAGCTTTCTTTCTCTTGATAAAGTTTTTCGATTCTTAAAAAAAAAGAAAAGAAAAGGATTTTCATGATTATTACATTAACATTCCAACTGATTCTTTATTTTTAAAACCATCAGACAAAACCAATATATATGTGACGTAATTTAGTAAATCAATACCCATCTTTAGTAGATATTTGGCAGATGTCTTTGAGTGTTTAAAATAAAAGAGAGGCTGCCTCTGTAGACAGCCTGCAGCACAGCAGAAGCCAGGAGAGCCAAGATCTATTCTTAGCCTGGTTGCTGGCACTGCTGAGGCCCTGCAGCCCTTCATTTGGGAGTAAGCAGTATCTCTTACCTGAAGTCTGTGATAAGGAGAGCAATCTGTGATTAAATGTGCTTTCTTGGAGATATTTAGGGTGGCTGTGTTTTCTCCTGTGTATCTAGATTTCTATATTGGCTCCATCCCTCTCCTGATGTTTTAAGAGAAAAAATATAGGAACTGATTCTTTCGCTGAAAGAAAACTGAAAAATGATTTAATTATTATTCACAGAACTTCAACTATGCTACAAAACCCTTTGGTGATCCTCAGAGACAAGCTGAGGCCGGAACAAATATTTGAGAGTTTGGGATAGTTTTGGATAAGTTTTGTCTGATGCTTTAGTTCTAGTTTTTCTTTTTGCTTGGCTGTTTTGTGATGATTACGGTGTTGGGCAGAGGTCGGTGTTTTATATGTGACTGCATTTTCTAAGGGCTATTGAACTTTATGACTTTAATATTTTAAAATAATAATTTATTTTCTTTCCTCTTGATTGGGGCTCTTTGAATGCATTTTCAAGAGATTGAAAAAACAGAATTATGAAATAGCCTGATCACGGGAAGGGTCATACGGTCCAAAAGAGCAGTAGGAATAAATACATGTCTGAAATTTGCTGTCGGATATATGTGTACTTATTGAACATGTGTTGATTGATTATTTTCCTTGGAAGAGCTTGAATCTGTAAAAATCATGGCTACATAAATATTTTGCTTGTGACTTTGTGTGACTTATTTCTTCCTAGAGACGCAGATTCTTCTCCCCAACTCTCAGTCCAGCCCAGCACCACACACTGTCTACCGCAGCGGAGAGGGTCGCCCTCCAGGGTCATCAGTTGCTCTGATCAGCCGCAACAATGAGTGACCTACGCTTGCTCTCGACTGATGCACTGAGCAGAGGGCTTTGGTGCTTGGTGATTCTAACCATGCCCATATATTTCACAGCAGCGAAAGGTAACAAGCATAGTTCTACAGCCACTATTTTAAAAATTGGAATTCCAAGAGCACTTGTTTTAAACCACTTGCTTCTGATTGTTGCAGCTGATTTATCATTTGGAAAAACAGTATTTTTGCTCAGCAGTTATTCTTTATCACAAGTCTGAAAAGAAGAAATTTTCCATAATAAACAAGTAACAGTTTCCCAATACTCAAATAAGCTAGAATTTAGCTCAATGCCTGCAGGTGACAGGTGTCCTAGGCATTTATTGACTGACACATACTTTGTTTAGGTAGACAGGGATGCTTGTCCATGAAGCAGTGTGAGAGGTTTAGCTCCCCATTAATTTATTCATCTATGGTCCCTGATAAAGCCTTTCATAAAAGATCTTAATCATGTACTTAGCCTTTCTTCAAATGCCACAACATATAATTCATTTTAAAATTGAATTTTAGATGGAAACGTCAAGAGGACCACAATTGTGACCTTCACACGTGATCATTTAAGGGCCGTCTGTGTGTTTCATTTGCAGTGTCCTCTTCATCATCGAGCCTGGAAAACGAAGCTTTGATTGTGAAATGTCCGGTTGGCAGAACTTCCCCTCTCCCCAGGGAATGGTATTACCCGAAAACAAACCGAAGCATCCCCACCCAGAGTAGTAACAGAGTCTTCACCTCAGAGGGGAGGCTGAAGTTTCTCCCTGCCAAAGTGGAAGACTCTGGAGTTTATACTTGTGTCATCAGAAGGTACAATCCGGGAGTCACCTTAATCTTTGTGCCTATCCTCAGTGTGTAGGGAGGTCTCAGCTGGCTGAACCCCGCCTCCTCCTCTATTCCTTTGTGGAAGGTTGAGTTTGTAAGCCCATCGGAGTGGAAGAGTCTTTTAGGACCTTAATAGCTATGATACTTGATCAGACCATTACAGCAGATATAGCTCTTGAAGAAATGGCTAAGGATTCATGTTTTAGGGCCTGCAGAGGGGCTTGGCTTTATCTCAAGCATAACAAAAAGTATTTAAAAATCTAGATTTGAGCGATTATTTTCAGTAAGAAAAGAACCACTGCATATGGTTGGCTTAAGAAGAAAAGCCACACTGAGCAAAAGCTAGAGAGGGGTGAAGCTGTTTCACAGTGCTAAATAAACTCTTTCTAATTAGCTTATCTTAATAGTCCCAGCAGGAATATGACTGGCTATGTGAATGTCACCATCTATAAAAGGCCCACAGATTGCCACGTTCCAGATGATGTGAAGTACGCTACAGTCACTGTATCAGAAAAAAATCCCAGAATATATTGTCCCAACATGTACCCCTACAATTGGACCGCACCTCTTCAGTGGTTTAAGGTACCAGGACATTTGGGCGGGCTGGAGATACCAGTTAAAATAGATACAAAAAAAGAATGACCCAACAGTGAGGGGATTTTTTTGTTGTTGCAGAACTGTAAAGCTCTTCAAGGACCAAGGTACACGGTACACAGGTCGCATTTGTTTATCCATAACTTGGGACCTGATGACGAAGGTGATTACACGTGTAGATTTACACACAATGAGAACGGAGTCCACTATAATGTGACAGCCACCATGTCGCTGGTTGTTAAAGGTGAGCTGGGACCTGCAACACAATCAGACACTAGAACAATGATGCCACTGAGTGCCCTGCCCCAGGCCAGCCACCCTGTTAGTCCTGATCACAGGGACATTTCCTGATTGCCCTAGTCAGGTTTTAGAAATTTGAAGGGAGACCACTGATCCCAAACCACACCTATGTCTTTTTCTGACTTTTTTTTTTCCAAGATGAAGCCATCTGAATGCTAATGGCATGCACTGTCTTGAATGGTTTTTTAACTGTCCCTTTGTAAGTGTCCCAAGGCCCTTCATATCCCCAAACCATTACACGCTCAAGCCTTCATGCCAAAGGGCACTGTGTCTGCATAAAACCCACCCACACTGTCCGTCTGTGCCATCCCTAAGTGACTTACAGTCCGTACCACACCTAAGCACCGTGTTACACAGTGGTTATGCTGCTTTGTGTGAGGAGTACTGACAAGAAAGCAGTCAGCACTCGAGCTGGGCGGGAGCAAGCTTCTTTCCCAACACCTTCGACCCTTAGTTGGCTGAGTCTGCAAATGTGCACCATGAAGTTGTGGAGGATGCAGATGAGGGTGATAAAAACAAGGCGCCATGATTTTAAGCCCTGGGGTGCAGTGCTTTTGGCCTGCCCAGTGACCTGAAGTGGGCTGCTTAATTCTGAAAACAATTTTTTTCAAATATATTTAAATTTTTTAAAGACCCTGTTTAGGGGAAAGATTTAACAGATGTAGATGAATGAATGCATCAGATATACAGGGCATGGACTGTTGATGCCAGTGAAGAAGCCAGGCCACACAATAATGTTTCAGGCCAGCATTTGTTGTCATGACACTAAAGAGAAGAGAAAGCATCATAGTGTATCACAAGTAGTATGATAAATATTATACATTTTAAAAATTATGTTTATTGGTAAATGTTCGGTATCCATAATGCTCATGATCATCCTAGGGAATTTGTACCTGTACAGGATATATCTTGATTCTTTTCTCTCCCATTTGCCCACCCTCTTTTCAACTTCTTTTCCCCTCAGTTATAAAAGCTTTATTTTCATTTTTGCTTCTCTTCTCTCTCTCTCTTTTTTTTTGTTGTTCCTTTCTTCTCTCTCCCTCCCTCATCCCCTTGTGCACTGGAGCATTTTCTTCCTATTTCACAAGATCTATATGTACATTTTGGTCTTTATTTACAACTGAGGCATTCTGTTTGTTTCCTGCATATATGAGCTTACTTGCGCTGACCAGAAAAATTTGAGAGCATCGCTATAAAATAAGATGGAAAACCGTGAAAGGACAACTTCATGCTTCATACTAGCCAGTGCTCCCTTAATACTTACATTCACCTCCTGTTTTTAATTTTAAGATAATCCAGGGAAATCTATGCTTCCAGTGATCACAGCGCCTTCGCAGAACGAAACAAAGGAAGTGGAGATGGGTAAGAGAATTGCAAAAGAATGCTGCGAACACTGGATGTGAGGGGTCCCCAAGTGAGCCCATGGAGGACAGTGACATGCCCCAGCCACACGTGACTATTTGAACCATGTCCCAGAAGCTTTCGGGACTGACAGCTACATCGCATTTTACAGTTCACATTGTGTTTTGTTCTGACCTCTACCCTAGAGAAAGGCACCATTCCCACTGTGTTTTTTGAGAAAAGTCAGGCTCAGAGGTGTTCAAGGAGACATCCAACGTTAGGGGAAACATGCAAAGAGACTTCCTGGCTCTTCTATCCTGCCTTTCTAGGCATTCATTAGGAATGGATAGGATCCAGAGGTGTCAGCAGCAGAAGCAGCGTCATGAGCCCTGGTCCTCCTTGCCCTCCAGGCTCAGCTGCAGCCATCAAGGCCCACACTCTGTTGCAACCAAGAGCAGGGCTTTTCCTGATCCTTCAAACCTTGTCCTAGCTCTCCTCCTTCCCATCCCCCAGACTGTTACCTGTCACGTGCTGCTCCCTACACCGCTCTCCTTCCCTTCCCCAGAGCAGACTCAGGGCACCCTTCTTCCCTCAAGACCTGCACAATATTTCCACGCAAAATGTGACCATCATGCTCTGTATTCTCTCCCTCGGCCTCCCAAGCCTCTGTGTTCGTCTCTCTGGCGTCATTCTGCAACCCAAGTGCTGGCGATCATTTCTTCCTCCCCTCCCAGAAGAGTTCCTCATATCACTCACGATGGGGCTGGGGTTCAGGGAGGGTTGTCCAAATGCAGGGCCATGGCTGACAAAAGCCCTGACACTTTCAGTTCTAAAGGAGGAGGTCTCAGGTTCCAGGAGTGGGGTTGCACCATGGAGAGTACTGTTTCTGGACATGGGGGTCCTGGATGAGGGGCTGGGCTGGGCAAAAGCAAGAGAGCTCATGGAGAGGGGAGGACAATGCAGTTGAGCACAAAAGTGTGGAGGGAATCAGGTGAAACTAACTCAGTTTCTGGCCATGGAAATGTCCCCGCTTTTCGGTTTCCTGGAGGTGAGTGAGTGGTGAGTGGTGGGAGCCAAGCTGCACACTGAGCTGGGGTGAAGGAAGAGAGAGACACCGGGAGAGGGCAGGAAGGAAGGAGCTGGAGCCATGAGAGCTGATGGGAAGACCTGCGGGCAGTCAGGCCATCATGGACTTGTCGCCTTGACTGAAATGAACCACTGCTGGTAGTATTTACTCTGATTGGTGGATTTGTTTGCTTCTCACCCAGGGGAGGCAGTGAACATCACCTGTGTGGCCTGCTACGGGACAGGGCCGCAGTCCTTCATGTTCCTCCTGTGGCAGGTGAACAGGACTAATGTCAACGACATGGGGGTAGCAAGATTTCAAGAGGAGCAAGAGGAAATTCAAAGGTATTTTTGTGTGAAGGCAAAGCACTCTCCTTCCCTTCCTGACAATGGGCACCTACAAAGGAAGCATTCAGTGTAACAAGATGCCAGGCATGGTTGTGCACATCTGTGGTCCCAGCACTGCGAGGCTGAGGCAGGAGGACTGCAGGTTTCAGTTCTTCCTGAATGACTTAATGAGAGTCTGTCTCAAAATTTAAAAAATGACAAGTAAAGGGGGCTCTGTGACAAGCAGTTCATGGTGTGATCCCCAGACTCTCTCTGTCTCTCTCTCTGACACACACACACACCCCTGACAAGTTGCCTTCTCAATTCCAGCAATGATATGACCTGTCTCAGGGCCGTGTTGAAAATCACTGAAGTGAAGGAAGAAGATTTGTCCCTGGAATACAGCTGTGTGGCTTTGAATTTGGATGGGTTGAGACGGCGCGCTGTGAGGCTGATAAAGAAAAAGCCAAGTAAGGAGTGTTTGTGAGACACTGGTCGCCCAAGTTTGCAGTATCCACTGTAAGCCAAGATGCTTCTCAGAGGACAGAGACCCTGCAAATGACCTGTCACACACAGTGCGATCCTCCTTTTAGAGGTGCTATTTGTGTTCTGGCCTTTTGGAAGATCTACTTTCTTCTCCTCCTCCTCTTCTTCCTCCTTGTCTTCCTCTCCCTCCTCTTCCTCCACCTCCTCCTCCTCTTTCCCCTTGTCTTCCTCCTCCTCACCTTCCTCTTCCTCCTCCTCCTGCTTCTTGAACTCCTCTCACACTCCAGCTGCTTGCTTGGCCACCCCTCCCCATCCTGGCCATAGGGAACCAAGGGAAGACAAGTTGTCTACAGAGAGGTCAAACCAGGAAGAGAGCTCTTTGGGAGTCCTTGTGCTTCTCCTTGTGCTGGACCCCAACAGTGCAACTGGACATCGGTTCTGCATGGCTCCTTGTGGGGACCCCTGATCTCTATTCCTGATGTCCCAGCCCAGTTCCTGACAACACTGACACTGGCCTCTTGTCTGTGTGCTCCCTTGATCTTTGGGTTTCCAAGCAAACTCTTTCTGTCTGTCAGATGAAGGGTTTGGCCCCATACAAAGCGGAGGGAGAAGGATAGGGTGTTTTCACACTCCAAGAGGGGCAGTGCAGCTATGCAGAAATCACTCAGGATTTGTCAAGTAGCCAAGAAAGGAGATGAGCTCTGAGCTCATACCCACATGTGAGTGTCGGACAGACAGACAGGGGCTCAAAGGATTGGAGTTGTCATGGGAGGTGTCTGCCTGAGCTGGGCTTTGCCTTTTTTTCTTGTTTTAATGTGGATCCTGACCCCTGATTTGTAAGGTCATAGAAAACACACAGATGAATTCAGCAGGACACTGGGCTTGGGCTGACGATAGCTGTGTTACCAGGGTGACTGTGGACCATGCCAGGGGTCATGGCGTGGAGGTGGGACCTCAGGCAGAGGGAAGCCCTGTATCCACTGTACCCTCCACACACAGCTCCTTCCTGCCTCCCTTTGCACCATGCTTACATGATCATTTATGAGCCATCTCTTGTCGCCTGGGCACCACAATTGTGCTTTCCCTGTGTGTGATTTTTATACTTTCTAGGTTATTTGTATTTCAACTGCTTTCCTTCAAGTTAACACAGGTGCACTATTTCGACAACTGTAAATTAAACAAAAACTATCTGTGCTGCTATTGAATTGTCATAGTGGACTCTTTTATATCTGAAATGACAGGGTTTCTTGACTCTATATAAGAAAAACAAAGAGTTTATCTTCAAATGATTAAATAAACAAAGCTCATAATAATAGTAGGACACACACATACACATTATTTTCTATGTCCTGGACCTTAATTATTTTACATCTAAATTTCTCAGCACTCCAAGAATGAAGGATGACGACAGTCTCTAATTTTGGAGATAAGAGAAGGAAGTCGAAGAGAGCTGAGTCCCTTGCTGTGGACCACAGCTGAAGTCCAGATTCCTGCATACCAGCCCATTCATTTACCAACACAAGAACCAGTTAGCGATTCAATACCATGCACAAGAAAAGCCTAGAGGTGTATGAGATCATTAACACGTAGGCAAATATTGAACTTCAGGCTTTTTTCAACATCTTGAACCACTTTCTTTCTCTCACGGAGGCATCAGACCCTCCCCAGGAAGGCACAGCCCTTGCATATATCCAGGCAGGAGTTTATTTACACAACCCATTGCAGTGATTAGAAAGCTTGCCATTGAAACAGTAGGCTCCCCGCAATTTTCAGTTCTTTCTGCCCACTTTGGACCACTTCACCTTGCTCATCCCTGATTTCATAGTGCTGGGTGCTCAGACAGCTGATGGACCCCTGGGAATGGTAGAAGAATGCATGAACACTGGACAGTGATTTTGTTGTCACATCTGAGACCCCACACATGGAAATTAGAACTAAAATGAACAAGAACCAAACACCAAACCTCACTTGTGGTTCTGCTCATGTTTATCTTTGAGCAGGATCTTTTCTAAGATGAGAAGCGCACAACCATTCTAAGAGCAAAGTGAGCTTAAAACAGCCGGGGGTTCTATGAATGACAGCAGTTCCTACCACCTGACTTCTGTGCATCAGTATGAGATGGGAACTGTGCTGCATGCACCTTTGCTGAGGCCAGGAGTGTGTGGGGCCCTTCAGTGATGGCCCCATGAGGTCCGGCATCAGGGAGGAAGGGCTTGGTGCAGGGCTGAAACCAGAGACCGACATCCCACCCAATGTACTGCATAGATTCACCAGCGGTGGTTTCTGCCTGGGGTCTGACACCCACCTCAGCCATAGGGTGTCCCCCTGACCTGCAGGACAATGCAGGACCTAAGGACCATGCTCCTTAGTCTTCCAGCAAACACTCTGGGTTATCACAGGACTCCACGTCCTCCTCATCTTGTATCCCCAAATGTTGCACCACATTCTACACTGAACCCCTGCAATCTCTCTGCACAGAAACCAGCCTTCCACTACTGTCAGCTTCAGCTCGCCTGAAAAACTCTTTCACTGTCAGTGGTCAAACTGATACTCTCTCTTAGCTGCTGTGACCTTCTCAGTAGAGCAAAAGCTTAACAGGGAGTTTAAGTCCAGTTGCATCTAACCCTGACCCATTTCATCATCCCATCTTTTACCAGTGCCCCCATGGGACACTTGGGTTCTTTAGCAAATGCATTAGCATGTCCACACTTCTGCTCACATCTTTCTTTTTGGCCTGGTCCCTGCTAGGACCTCCTTTCCCAGCCCAATGTGGGGCAAGTTCTCCTAAACGCCTCCATCAGCTGAAACCACAGCTTTGCCTCTTGTTTTAGTTAGGTGGCTCTGCCCCTTGGCTCTTGAGAATGCACTGTGATACCTAAACTGGTGCCTTTTATGGAGTGGGGCTCAAGAAGCATCCATTTACCCATTTTTAAAGGAGCTCTGAATATTCCAGATGCAGCTCTTAGGTGTGAATCCCACATGCCCAGGGGAGGCTAGCACCCCGGCCCTTTACCCACTTCATCTCATCTGAATAGCACTGATATTCATTATTCTCCTTGCCACCGTCTTTTGATAGTTGATCGTGGAAACATCTACTACATAGCTGCAGGATGTAGTGCTCTGCTGATGCTAATCAGTATTGTGGTGATAGTCCTGAAAGTGTTCTGGATTGATCTGAGTCTACTCTGGAGAGACATGGCCAGACCTTACAAAACACGGAACGGTAAGTGGTCAATTTCAAGGGTTTCCTCAAAAATGCCTATGGATTACTATCTCATTAAACTCCTAATCACCGTGCTGTCCACTCGGTCTGCATTTCCGTGATCTCTGGTTTTCAGTGAGGCTTCTGAGTCCTCTCAGAGACTGTTTTCCACACAACTCTGTGGGTTCCACAGCTCTGAGCTTCACCTCTACAGCTCCATCTTCCTGACCGATAGGCCTGGTGCTGGTACCAGCTCCCCGAAGGATTTTTCTCAAGCCAAAGGACGTTTCTATATTTAGGGAAATGTGTGCTGGTAAAGCTTGATGAAATAAAAGTCATAGAATTGGTCCTGTTTTCCAGATGTGAGGAGGTGAGACAGGTGTATGAAGCCCCCACTCAGTAAGAGTCCCCACAGGAAGCAGGATGGCTCTGCATGCTGAGGTGGACACTGGGCTTCACTTAGGAGCAAGCACACGCTGGAGCTCAGTGCACGGCCCAAATGGCTATTACCGAAGTGTTAGTTACGGGATTCTGAGACCTTCAGCGACCTCCTCCCTTGGCATGGTCAGCCTTTAGTACTTCCTTCTTCCAGGGACCTGTAGTGGTCCCCACCCCTCACCCTTGACTCCCATTCCTATGGTTTCAGTTATCCAAAGCTAACTAAAACCCAAAACACTCCTGGAAAATTCAGGAAACATAAAACACAAGTTATGAAGTGCACGCCTTTCTGTGTGCCATGAGGACATCTCACCAGGCCCCACTGTGCCCCACCTGTGACAACCCATCATATCCAGGCTGTCCTCACTAGTTGCCTGTACCTCAGTGTCTTGGTTATCAGATGGGTCCTGTGACATCACAGCACTCCTGTTCAAGTAATCCTTACTTTACCTCATTAGGGCCCCCAGGTGCAGGAGGAATACACTGGTGACTTTTTGAGAGTCGATTGTTAAGGTTTTCCTACTTTAAATTATTGTCGTTAAACTCTTACTGTGCCTGATCCATGAGTTACGCTTTATTGTAAGTGAACAACATGGTACATACTACCAAGGAACTGGTACTGTCTGTGGTGTCAGGCATCAGCTACCTGTCTCAGAATGCATCCCCTGAAGGTCGTGGGTTCAAATGTCCAGAGAAAGGGAGAGATGGCACTGTGCCCTACCAGGCACAAATACAGAACCCTGTCCATTGCTACAGATGCTCAGTGATAGATTCACCACGGCCAAGCCTGGCCACACAGCTTAATCTACCCTGGACAAGCTCTGGTCTGTTTGCTGTCACTCAGTCTGAAGCAGTGCAAGCAGAGAGGGCTTTGGGACTAAGATTGCCATTGCCCGATCACATTTTGGGGCAGTAGGTTTTCTCCATCCTCTGCCTCCAGAATATTTCAGGGCAATAGGTACATTCACCAACGCCACATGACTTGGTGAAGGAAGACTGCTAAGCTTCAAGCGGAAGTCTTTAGGACTGGACACTAAAGTTGTCCTTTTTGGTTTTGTCCCCAGATGGAAAGCTCTATGATGCTTATGTTGTATATCCGAGGGACTACACAGGCGGTTCCGAGGGACCCAGCTCTATGGAGTACTTTGTCCACAAGATGCTGCCCAGTGTTCTTGAAAATAAATGTGGATACAGCTTATGCATTTACGGGAGAGATCTGCTCCCTGGAGAAGGTAAAGCTCCCCACACAGTCAGAGGGGGAAGCCCCCACCCCAGCCCCAGTGAAAGCCTGAGGCTAAATGGATCTTAGTCCTGCAGTAGAAAAGGAATTATGTTGACAAATGAGACCTGACATCAGAGCTTTGAAATGGCCCTGCGGAAAGTGCTTATCCTCTGTTCTGCCCCTCCCTGTCATTGATCCTCTCAGGAGTGTTGGCCACTGGACAAGTTTAGAGCAGTGTGAGAGCCAGGCACCCTCAATCTTGCAGAACAGGGCACGGCCCCGTTTTGTTTCCTCTGTCTCCCCAAGGATGTCTGTGACCCGTCACTGTCTTCAGGAGATTTGAAAGAGGACTGAGCATGTGAAGAATTGGGTTATAGTAGTCATGGGCACTAGCTAAAAAAGTAATGCACTCGGAGTGCCTTCATTCTCCTTGTATGGAGGAAATCTTTACCAACGTATTCTCAGCAGAATAAGGAGAGCTGCTGTTTCTTAATACTTTGAGCCTATGTCAGGTACTTTTGACATTTTGGCCTAATGCCAGCAATTTCAATAGTTATTTTTGTCTTCCCTTCCTATATTTGTGTCAAGGAACTTTTAACTCTCCCTTTGAACCCTTCTTTAATTCTTCAAAGATCGGGAAACATTTGGGATGTGAAAGGGACCCAGAGAGTGTGAACAGATCACTCAACATTGTGTTTAGCATCGCAAGCCTATGTTAAATCCCTGTTCTCAGAAAGGCACATGCACAGTTGAGTTTGGTTCCTTCTGGAAGATCTGGTAGTGCTAACTACCTGGTAAAGGCTCTGGAGACCTGAACATGTACGGTTCAGGAGGACGCAGTCCTGTTCTTCTCAGGGGCTTCCTGGCTTCCCCATGTGCCCAGAGACCACCTGCATGTAGAGGGTAGTAGGTGACAGCCTCTAGTGCCATTCCCACATCACAAGTGTGCTCAGGCACCTTGGGGTCCCCAGTGGTCTAGGAGCCCACACTGTGCATCACTGCTGGCCACAAGCTCTTCCTCCCTTTACTCTCAGCCCGTGGAGCTAACTTCAAGTTACTCTGCTCCCCAGCCCGCTCGGCTACTTGGACATTCCCTGCCCACAGAGCTGTGCCGCCCTCCCTGCGCAGCACCACACTAGCTTGGGTTGGTCTCATGTCGCTTGCCCTCGGTGCTGGTCCTCGGACCCCACCACACCTTCACCCAGGTAGAGCAAAACTCAGAAGCACACTCCCAACCTCCACTGTCCCCTAGGGAAAGGGCCAGGCTGGCCCTGCATCGTGTCTGTTCCCACAGTGCCTGCCTCCATCCAGAGTGGGGTCCTGGCCAGCGGTCTCCACCCCACACAGCCTCACCCTCATCTTCTCATCTCAGACTGTGAGCACTTGCAGCCTGCAGCAGTGGCTCTGTGAGAAGCTTTCTAGCTGCTTGGTCCTGGCTGGCCTTCTTTAATACACTTCCGCCTGCCTCAGTGAGACGGGGTGACAGGCACGGCTTCGTAGGTCCACCCAGACCCGGCAGAATCACCAGGGTATTGATGCTCTGTTACTCTGCCTGAGAGCTTAGCTCCCTCCGGCTTTCTCTAGTCTGGGTCAAACCAGCTCCTATAATAGAGATTGTTGGGGCTGAAGTGGACCAAGGACCTCCCTGAAACTTATGATCAGTTCAAGAAAGGGGTGTCCAGGCTTCCTGAGTTTGGAATCTCTGATCTGAGAGTTCAGATGTGGACCTTCTTTGCAGCACAAAAGCAGACATCCACACTAAGATGCAGTAATCTAAGGACATTCCTGGGAGCCCACATTCAAAGCCACCAGGAAGTTTCAGGGTAGCTGGTCCACATCCCCATCTAGCTGGAAGACTGTCTCAGGACTGATCTACCTAAGAGCAGAGAGGTCCTGGGGCTGACATTTGTGTGTGGGAAATGGGTCAGAAGAGCGAAACACGCTCTCTACCCAGGTTCACTTCCACTCCCTGAACAAGAGGTGATGGGTATCCCACACCCGTTTATAACAAGAGGGTTGTTTAAATGTTGAGAACACTTATGACCCAAGCAGTAGGTGTAACAAGCAGGGATATAAAATCTCAGTCTCTTTCTCCTGTGAGCAGACGTGGCCACTGCGGTGGAGTCCAGCATCCGAAAGAGCAGGCGCCACCTGTTTGTCCTGACGCCGCACGCATCACACAGCAAGGAGTTCGCCTATGAGCAGGAGGTGGCCCTGCACTGTGCCCTCATCCAGGGCGACTCCAAGGTGATTCTGATTGAGATGGAGGCAGAGGCTGAGCCCAGAGGACTGCAGGCTGCAGGGCTTCAAGACGTCCTCAGCCACCTTGTGCAGGCGCAGGGCACCATCAAGTGGAGGGAAGACCACATGGCCAACAAGCAGTCCCTGAACTCCAAGTTCTGGAAGCATGTGAGGTACCAAATGCCAACGCCAAGCAGACCCCCCCAAAGAGGCTCCCGGTGAGGTCTCCCTGTGCAGGAACAGCAGTGATGCTCCTTCGGGTTGCTATGGCATCAGCGACTGGCAGCTCTAAGTGCGCAGAGAGGGTTAGTGACTGGCACCAGGTACTGGGGACCATGGGAGTAGGCAAGTGGAGGTTACTGGACTCCTGTGCTATCTAGGGACTTGGCTTCCCTCTTCCTGACTCTGGTGGATACACAAGTCCTGAAATGTTCGCTCTCAACTCTCTTGCTTTCATTTGCTGTATTTCGCGGTGACCTGGGGTCTCCATGCAGTGCCGGTATTCTTTCTCGCTTTCTCTCTCTCTTTCTCCTCCTTATACCCTCTCACCCTCCCCACCCGCTCCGTTTTGGGGGAGCAGCAGATTGACCCCAGGGCATCTGCATGCTAGGCAGGTGCTCTACCTAGCTGCCCCCTAGCTTACCTGAGCTGAACCCAGCTCTGCTCTCCTCTTCTATTTCTCCTCATCCCACATCAATAATCCACATGTGGATGGCAAACAAAACCTTCTGGAGTTACATCTTGATCTCATCTCAGAGAATATCCTGATTCCCAAGGGCAGAGAATCACTATTATAAAACACAGTCCCGGAATGCCATTATTTCCTGCTACGTTTATTTGTTAGTTGCTCGGTTTAATCATCTCAAAATTTCCAATTGTGTTAAGACACCTGATCCAAATTATGACTAAAACTAGTTTTTCTGCTCTAAAGTTTCTCTTATATAGTTTTATTCCAAAGAAAATATTATTTTCTCACTATAAAGTTGACAAGGGCCTATTACAGAAGAGCAGAAATTATAAAGGAAAAGAATAAAAATCGTTCTTAAAGGCACCATCTTAAGACTACTGTTGCTACATTGTCCTCTATTTTTAAAATTTTATTTTTCATTTTATTATTTGCGGTGTTGCAGGTGGAGCCCAGGATCCAGCACACACTAGCTCCACGCTTTTACCGTTGAGCTACGTCCCCATTTTCGTGCTGTAGCACTTCTAAGTGCTCAGTGGTGAGGGCTACATTGTTTCAAGAAATGATCTCAATTTAAAAAATGCGTCTTTTTTAAAGTAAAAAGTTAAAAATCATTTATATAGATAGGATTACACCATATTATGTGGCACAGCTTAAATATAAAGCCCCTACCCAAGGCTCATACCTGGAGGGTGCTAATATCATTGAGGAGTTTGTAGCCTGATGGGTGTTAGGAGCCGGGGCCTAATCAGAAGCGCCAGGTCAGCAGGACAGTCCTTTGAAGGGCGTATCTTGGCCTGGCTCCGTGATGCAGAACCGTTTAGAGCCTTCGGTAGTAAGAAGCAGCCTGCAGTGGCACACGTTCTGTAGGCTCACCCCCACTGGCCTAGCTCCTTTCCTGATGCTGACTCTTCCTTTCCCTTTGCTGTCCTCTGCCACGAGGTGACGTTTCCTCCCACCCTGCCCTTCCACTGTGAGCATTCTGCTTCACCACAGGCGCCATGCAAACGGAGCCCACTGACCATTGGCTGCAACTTGTGAAACCCCGAGCCGAAATAAGCCTTTCCTCTTTTAAATTTTGTAGGTCACATATTTTGTACCAGCAACAGAGAGTGAATTTTATGTTTTCTACCTAAAATCATAATAAAAATTATTGGCATGTCATTGAATTTTTTAAATTTTAAAAATATTCACAATGTTCCATTTCATGGCTGCGCTACATTGGATGGAACTGAAAAAGCCTTCATTATAAATAATTATGTCATTATAAATAATTCTACCCTACTGTTATATCGTACACCTCTCAATGAAAATGTTGATTAAAAAGTTTGAGACTATTTCATGTGTTACAGTATTTGTGTTAAATTACTAGAAAGTTTTTGACAAAATATGTGGGCAGGATGAAGATAATTTGTAGCCAGGCATCCTGTGGCCACTCCCTGCAGGGCAGCACACAATTCAGGGCCACAGGGGTATCATAGGAGTATCACTGGGTATCACTGGCTGAGTGTCCACTTGAACCTTCATCCCTGGGGACAGGGGTCCTTGATCCCTCACTTTGGTCACAGCATCCCAATAACCTGAAAGGGATGTAGGCCACACTTCAAGGTTTGCAAGCAGGTAATAAGATCCTACTTAATTGAACCACTGCATCAGTTAAATGAGTTCATATTTTACTGATACAGAAAGCTGAGTGACAAAGAGACTGTGACCTGGAATTCATTGTTCTTCAGTGCCTGTTTCAAAATCCTGACTGAAATCACACCTCCAGAGTGCTGTCTGATGTATCCACAGCTTTTCTGCTTTCTGGAACCCTCTATTCCTAATCCACAGCCTCAGCTCGTGTTGCCAGATGAAAGAAACATCAGCTGAGGTTGAACTCAAAGCACAGAATTTCATATGAAGTGGATATCAGATTCACATTTAGACACCCTGCATCATGATTTGCTAAAGGTGACTTCTGTGGCAGACTTTTGTGCTTTTATGTGTCACTACCAGACACAGAAATAGCAAGTAATGGGGGGGATGGAAAGGACAGAGCACATTTGCTTGGTTTTCATCATATAATTTGGAATCAATCTATGAATTTCTTTTTGATTCACCACCCATGTGGCTGATATGGCTTGTATCTAAACGTCTCCCCAAAGCCTCATGTGGGCATAGGGTGGGGTTTCTCAGAGGTGGATCTATCGTGTGTGATGCTGGGACCAAAGTGTGTGATTACTAAATCAGCCCACTGATTGGCTTGACCTAGTTCTGGGTGGGATTAAGGATGCCCACCCTGGTTGTGAGTGAGTAAGCCTGGATAAAACACAAGGACAGAAGAAGGTTGTTGCTTGTCACTTGCTGCCTTTCTGCCTTCTGCCCCCCATGAACTCTTTCTTCTCTGCGATGCCCTCTGCCATGCCACCTGTCCTGGAGCCAGCCAGCTATGGACTGAAACCTCTACTAACTGTGAGCCAAATAAACCTTTCCTCTCTACCTTTGGGTGTTGGGTATTTTGTCTCAGCAGCAAGAAACACAATGAAGACAGTGGTCACGAATCCCTTAATGTCTTCAAAGCTTGGTCCCCTTAGGTAAAATGACCGTAATAATACTAAACACTTTGGGTTTCTATGCTAATGCAAATATAGAAATATTCGAATCACAGGAAAAATACCAGTAAGCAACAACAGTTGTAGTTACTTTAGAAACCTCTCTGTGTCTATTATAATGTTGGTTATAGTCTGTGACTTCTTTCTGTGAAGATCTCCAAAAGCTAACTTCTCTCTGTTCTCATTACTGGGAGCAGTTATGCATTTACCTGACCCTCTTGCCTCACTAAAGTGATGGGTGTGGTTTTGATTTATGGACTAGGGAATTTTGAAACTGATTTTAGTTCCCTGTTTACATTAGCTGCTTGAAAGCATAAAGCTGAGTCTGGCAGCTTTCTACAGCAGCTACAAAGGACGTGATTACATGGCATATGTGATGGTCTCGTCTGTGGTTTCATAATACTGAGTTCCTTGCTCCAGAGCAGGAACAGACGAGTTTCCACTCTCCTGAGCCCTTTGTGACTGGAAGGTGGAAGGACTGAGAAGGTGACCCCTCATCAGCTGCAAGGCTTGCTCATGATTCCAAGCTGCAGGTCATTGTGAGGTTAGAGAACTGCTAGACACCTGAATTCTCATGCCAACGCCTGAAACTTCACTGTCTCCCTGTCTCCACTGCATGGGGCATTAATAGGTCCACACAGGACAGATTCACACGAAACCTGCTAGAGGTAAAACATACAAGTATGGTGAAAATGCTCGCAAATTATAAGACCACGAAGAATTACTTCAGTCATGTTTGCATAAAATAATACGTACATCCTCAGCATTCAGTTCCAATGAATCATGGTCTTCTAACACACCTGTGAAGTTAGAACACAAGCCAGACATCATCGCTCTAGAAAATTCCTCTGAGACATCTCAGTGGGCTCCTGTCCTCCTCCACGGGCAAACAATGTTCTCATTTTCACCTGCGTGGCTCAGTCCTGTCAGTTTTCCGAGTGAATACACTTGGGTGGTGTTGTATCTGGTGACTTGGCTACAATGTTCCATTTTAAATCCTCACTCGATTTTTTTTTGAGTCACTGGTTTCTCTGTACTGTGTTATGTGGCTAAGTATTTGTTTAATCTTTTCTTTCTTCTTAGACATATGGATTATTATGACTATGAATGTGGCTCCGATAAACATTCCTGTGAATATCTGTTTTTATTTATTGTCCAACACCTAGGAGCACCGATGGGTGGGTTAAAGTTTTTGGAGAACTGGAAAATGTTTCTGCTAACTAGTCTACCATCTTACATTCCCCAGTTACCAATGAGCAATTTTTCACTCTGGTGAGTCATCAAGACTGATATTGTCACATTCTTTTATACTTCAGTCATTTTTATGGTTGTTAAGTGAATCTCACTGTGGTCTTGATTTGCAGTTCTCTGGCCATTAATGATGTTGAGTCTTTGATTTAAGTGGCTGTAAGCAAATATTTTTTGGTGGACATAAAATCTTTTGCCACATTTAAACTGTGTTGTTTCTTTCTATATTGCTGATGTGCAGACATTTTTCATATACTATGGGTATAAGTTATTTGCCAGAGATGTCAGAGTTTTTCAAGTTTACTTTTCATGTTTTGAAAGTGATGACTGCACTGATGAACAGCTTTAATTTCAGTGACATTCAGCAGATCAATTTGTCATGCATAGGGCTCCTTACATTTTAGGGATTCTCTTTCATTTTCCCCAAGGACATGGAAATAGGCTCCTGTGTATTTTTATGACATAGCTGTGGTTCTAGCTTTCAAGTAATTTTGTGATTTGTAGAGAATGAATAGAACGAGATAAGGGTCAGAATTCAGTTTCTCTTTTCCATAGTGATACCTAGGTATTCGGGTAACGTTCGTGAGAGTCATTATTTCTCTTCCCCCATGAATTGACATAGACTACTGATAAAATACTTTTTGAATATTCCTGTGGATCTGTTAATCTATTTGCTATTTCCAGTTTGTATAGTCCCAAAAATATCACACTTCTATGATTAATCTTGCTTTGTTGCAAACCTTTCAGACAGGGTACGTTCACTGATAAAAGGTCAGGGCTTTGTTCTTTTTCACAACTGTTCTGATAATTCTTGATCATTTGAATTTCCATATATGTATTTTAAAAACCGCTTCTGAATGTCTTTGAAAATTACTCCTTTGATTTGAATTGCATTAATTATACAGGCTCCACAATCCAGGCAGCCTAAAATGTAGCCGATACTCGTATCAACAACAGTGAAACTTGCCATCCTTGAACATGGTATACACCTCTGTAGATATCTTTCCTTTTCTACTTTTTCTGTTTTCCTAGTTATATTTCTTCTAGAGGACTTGCGCTTTGATGGTTAATTTTTAAAATGCCATTGCAGATAACATTCTCAATACCTTTTATGTTTTGAATTTCCATCACCAGTATCAATCTGATGTTCTGTTACTCTGATCAACTCAGCAAACTCCATGGATTTTCTTTCTTTGCTGCTTTTGTAGATTTCAAAGGGCAATGGACATATAAACACGTCTTTTGTAGAAACCAGCCCTTTCATTTCTTCCTCTTGATGTTTTATCATTTCTAGTTTCATTTCTTTACATAACGCATGTCTTCTAGGTGAGAGTCGACATGCGGATCTCAGGACAGAGCGAAATGACTCACCGTTGATAAGGACTTGGCTCTAGATTCCTAACTGATGGTCTTTATCAGACTGAGAAACAGTCTTTTCTCCTTCCCATTTTCTCGGTGTTATTAAAGCAGAAAAGATGCTGAGTTTTGCTAGATGACTACTTTTTGTGTTTACGAAGATAAATGTGTGCTTTCCATTTTATGTGCTGAACTAATTTGGGCTAAAAAGTGTGACTAAACCCGCCCCATCAGCCATGGACGCTGCTATGTTTTAAGAGTTATTTCAATAATTCTACGATCTTTTTTATTGTGCAGTGAATCATGGTGACTGGGTAAACGAAGGAAATCCCTGTTCCTTGTTTAAGAACAGTTCCACCACACAGAAACACTTTGAGATCCCAGCGCAGCGACTGCTCCTCCCTGCTCTCTAGCTTGCTCCCTTCGGAGCGCGATGCCCAGGCACCCCACTTCTGCAGACCATGGCTCTGCTAGCGCGCCTGAGCCTCACCCTGGGGGTCTCCATGGGTCATGGCTCCCCAAGGCCAGCAGGGGGCGTAGGAGACACACGCGAGAGTGGCGGTGTGGACTCTGTTCTGGGGTGCGGGGGTCCTGGGAGCTCTCCTGGAGCAGGGCACCCCGAGACCAGTGGCCCAGACCAGAGTGCAGGCCTGGGTCCTCCAGATTTGCGTGCCGCGGACTCTGCTACTGTCCGCAAAGCACCCGCTTCCCTTCCCGCTGGGGCTTGGTCCCACCCCGCCCCGCCCCGCCCCGCCCCGTTGGGGATCGGGCCTTTTGGTGAAGTCTTTGCAGGGCTTGACTAGGAGGAGGAGCGGAGGAGGAAGGCAGCGGGGACAGCGACACGGAGGCGGGAGACAGGAGGACCGCACCGCGCCAGGACCCTTGGGGCACGATCAGGGCTCTCGCGTGTGTGTCTCCGCGTACATGCCCACGCGCCCACGTGTGTGAGCTCACTAGACGGCGTGCACCAGCGCGTCCCCGAGGTGGGTTTTGGAAGTTAGAGCAATCTCAGTTCGCTTCTGCAGGGTGAGTGCTGAAATCAGGGCTGAGCAGGGAGCCTCTGCACTGCTGAATTCTCCTGGTCCTCTGTGAGGGGATGGTGTTAGCCTGCTGAATCAGAGGGAGAGGGAGCCTGGTGT